AATAAATATTTTATCATATGTTAATTTCAATCAAATTTTATTGCTTCATAAGATAATTTGTATTTAGTTTATGTTCATACTTAGTTTATATATATTAATTTTTCTGATATATATAATGTTTTCCATTAATAAATACTTTATGATATGTAAATATAAATAAATTTTTATTTATATAGATATTTATATATCATTGTTTTGTATTTTAAATATGTAATATGGATATCAAACCGAAGATAGTTAAAAGATAATAAATTTGATATATCATATATAAAAAATAAAATACAAACAAAAAAGTTATAAAATTTAAAAAATATGAAGAAGACACATTCATAATAATTAGTGAATGAATTAAATAAGAAAAGGGAACATATTTTATGGTAATATAGGAAAAGAAAATGTAAAAGAGTTTATGGTAACTAATTTTATAAGAAAAGGAGAAAAACATCAATCACAGATTTAATGTGAATAATATAAATTTTTGTGCAATTCGTACCTAATTTTTTATTTTATAAATAACTAACTAGTACAGTACCCGTGTTAAGTTAAAATATATTGTAAAAGTTATTGATAAATAAAATTTTTGTTTAATAAGTTTTGATGGACTAATTAATGGAAAAAAATAAAGAGGAATAGGTAGAGCATAAAGTGATTTGTAAATACTAAATCTTAATTTAGGAGAGATATATGGGAGAAAATTAGAAGATGGTAAGATTGCTACTTGTCCAAATTAAAAAGTGATTTTGTACTAAAAAATAACAAAATTAAATGTACAAATACCAAGTTTAAAAAAAGTTATTTATGTCTATACTAAGCCTAATTCCAAAGCAAAAAAATATATACAAACAACATTCCGAACCATAAATTTTTGCCATGTCAGCATCCGAAGCATGTGAGCTTGCCATTTAGACTCGACAAGTTTTGAATTAATATATTTGGAGGGGTTTATATCCAAGTCTAGCGATGAAGCACAATTTTTTGCCAAATAGGATTATGAAGCGTGTGAGTCTGCCATTTAGTCTCAACGCATTCGACAATTATATATATGGGGATGATATATAAATATTCATAAATCACTGAATATATTTTCATAAAATTATCATGGAGCTTGAAGTACTACATTTATCGTAATAAAGTATTTTTCATATCAAAGTTTATATTTAGTTTTAATAATCGATTTGGCCTGGTCAAACTGACCGGTGACTAAGGATCAACCCTAGTTATGTCTATTGAGGTATACTGTAAAAGTTCGACTTTCAGTTTATGACAATACTATTTTGATTGAGAATTCACGTTTTAGTTAAGTGCATGTTTGTAGTTAATTATCTCAATTGAAGTAAAGAGCCCCCTGTATGTTTTATTTATGAAAACACTGTTCCTTTGTTTTACATTGTAGATAATATGGTTCAAGGTCTGGTACAACAAGATCATATTATCGGTTCCTGTAAAATATAAATGACGGTTCACAGTTTAGGCATGAACTGAACTTCCTGTCGTGAAAGACTGTAGCGTGACTTTTGTTATCATCCGACTCGGTAATCTGGGATTACTCATCCGAAATCACGTGTAAGAAGAGTCATCATTGGTACTGACTTGGACCCCGTACTTCGGTTTATATTACAAAATCGAACTTTGACCGACATGAAGAAAACCGACTTGTCCCACGGAAACCGAAGTCACCACGAATCGAGGTCACCATTCCCAATGCAGGTGACAAGGTACATACGCGACGCATCCTCACACCACGAGAAATCTCATCATTTACGCGGGACCCACTCACATGACTGCCCATCAGAAAGCCACTTTACGTAAAAGCGACTGTACACCTCGAGATACGGGTCCAAAAAGATACTATAAATAGGAGATTTGTATACTTGTACGAGGATCGTTCCTTGAACATTCACCATACATATATCAAAAAGTCCAACACCCTTCACCTCGGTTCACCTCGGACCGGGGCCATTGTTTGTATTTCTATGCACGCTTTACGTTAATACATCTTGCTAAACTGCTAAATATATCTAAAATCGTTATCAATAACCACACGACAACAACCTTGTAATTAGTTGATCTTAGACTAGTGGATTACACTGGTACATCTTGAATATTGAACGACCCACATGAGGATAAGATTATTTTATACCGACCAAGTAAATAATCTAGACCTCATAATTTGTTGCATATTCTTCAAATGTACGGACATATATAGTCAGCACTTACTTTTGATTTATCTAGGGTTATATTTATTATGGTAGGTCGACATACTCGATATTTTAGTAAGTAATGTCGGTTGAATGATGTACCGTCAATATTTTTTACGGTCACCTTATCTCGGGAGCCTGGGTTGATGACATCCCCGAAGTGAGCTCAAGAAAGATTGTTATGTCAAGTCCTGCAGGTGGATTAAGTTCCGACATAATGATAAATATTTGAGTGGTACTAGCTTCGGATATAGAAGTTGTTTCATTATATTGTCAGTAAGTAAATTAATCAACGAATGTTAGATCTTAAATACGGGAATATAAATTAGGCAATAAACTTGGAAGCAAATTAATTGTAATTCATAGTTTAAATTGAAAGTGCAATAATATTTCTCTAGTGAAATGATTTATTATTCGAGTATTGAGCAGAGTGAGCTTGGCCCACAATTGGGCTAATCCTTGGGGAGTCCATATTTAACACCTCCCCAGGGTCTCTGTTGTAGCCTACAAATACACCAAATCTCAAGCCTCCAAATGTAGGATTTCTCATAAGATTATATGTGCACGATCGGTTTTCTCTTTCAAAAGATCCGTTCTACTTGTGGTTTCTTGAGATTTTGTGCGATTCGAGAGATTTCGATCGCTCCATCAAGATCGTTCGGAAAAGGTATTTACCTAATACAGTAGTAGATCTTTTAATCTTTTATTCATATCCCAAAAAATATATTATTACCCCGTAAAATATCTGTAATTTCTGTGGTTGTTCGTTCTTCATTCGAATAAGAATCGTGACCATTGCAGACTAGCGATCACCATCCCGTACCTGTCGGACTCAGCCGCGACCCAACACCGACAAGTCAACGTGAAAGCCTCTGGGGTTGATGGTATCACAACCATGTTTTCAAAGCTCTTGGGACATTGTTAAGAGTCACATGTGTGCTGTAATTATTTTTTTTAACAAATAGAATACCCTAAGGGCAACAACCATACTATCATCACCTTAATCCCTACCCAAAAAAACCCTACTCTTCTTTCTGATTATAGGCCCATAAGCCTTTTGCAATGTGATCTATAAACTCATAGCCAAAATTCTTTCCTTAAGGTTAAAGACTATCCTGCATCTTTGTAATTTTGACTCTCAATCTGCCTTTGTGCCAAGAAGGCAGATTCTTGATAATGCCATTATCGTTGATGAGTGCATTCATGTTCAAAATAGCAAGAGAAAAGGCAAGCAGGAATATATTTATGTTAAACTAGGCATGTCTAAAGCTTATGACATGGTAGAATGAGAATTTCTGGCTAGGGTTTGTAGTAAGATGGAGTTCTGTGATAAATTTGTTTCTTGGGTTTTAGCTTATGTTTGCTCCACATTCTTCTCTTTTAATGTTAATGGGCGGACTCTGGAGTCTGTTCAGCCTAGTATGGGCCTTAGGCAAGGAAACCCTCTGTCCCCTTACCTATTTATATTAATTTCTGAAGCTCTTTTCAATTTAATTAAGCAATCTAGGATTAATCTTAGTTTCAAAAGTATTAAAGTTGGTAAATATGCTCCCATTGTTTCTCACCTATTTTTTGCATATGATACCATTATGTTATGCAAGGGTGATATACCCCATGCTTACCACATTTTGAATATGCTTGAGAATTATGTTTTGCTTCTGGCTAGGTGGGTAGCCTTGAAAAGTCTTCCATCTTTTTTTTCTAAAAAAAAAACACTTCTTTGAGAGTTTCTTCTGATATTAGACTCATCCTGCATGGTATTAATCATATTTCAACTGCCAACGACCTAGGTAACCCTTTGGGAATTGTTAGGTTATAAGAGAAATTTTTATATTTGTGAGTGAGGTTATTCACAACAGAATATCTAATTGGAAGGATTCTCTCTTCAGTGAGGCTGAGAAGGAGGTCCAAATTAAGCATGTGGTGGTGCTATGTGTTTGTGTGTGATGATACTTGCAAAGAATCTACTCAGTTTTGATGAGGTAGATGGGAAGTTGGGTTTTAAAGTTCTGAGAGACTTTAATAAAGAGCATATTGTTAAGCAAGTGTGGTTCCTAAATAAGCCTAATTTGCTTATGAGTAGAGTGATTAAGGGTAGATATTTTAGGAATGACTACCTGTCTTCTGTTAAAAAATGGGGACTCTTGGCTTTATAAGATTTGGCTAGGGGATAGGGGGCTTTGGAGTTTGGTGCTAGATTTCAAATTGGGGATGGTAAGGCTCAAGGTGTGTGATTCTCCCTCGATCCCTATCTTACTTGCTTTCAAACCTTACTACTACTTTGAGTTTGATACGGGTAGATTAAGCAAGATTTGTGAACTTAGTGATAAGGGTAGACATGATGGAGATAAAGAGATGATTTTTCAATCCTTTGGCTAGATTTCTACTGCATAGATGTAGAGGTGGCAAATTGTCGGGTCGCGACCCGGCCCGGCCCGCCGGGTCAGCGGGCCTCAATATCATGGCCCGTAACCGGCCCTAAATAAACTATGGGCCGGTTCATAGAACCGGCCATGAACCGCCGGTTCACCGATCCGGCGGGTTACGGGCTGGTACGACCAGTAAAATAAAAAAAGAAAAATAACACTATGGCCCATCGTCCGACTCGCGACCCGAATCGGTCTGGCTCAAACCGACGGGTCAAAAAAAATTGTGAACAGGGACCGAACCGCGACCCTAAGGGTCCAGTTCAACGAACCGGCCCTTAGGAGGCTGGTTCATGGCCTTGCTATTGAGTAGTTTGTGCAAGGAGTTAAATTTATCTTCTGCTCAGACACCTACAGTGTGGTTCTATGACATAAGATGCATGACAATGTCAGATTATCTAGTGAGATTCAGATGATTGATATGTTTCAAATGTACAAGGAAGAGATGAGGTGTGAGCTTGTAGTTGGTGTGCTTGACAATGCTGATTTTGATGCATTGGAGCCTCTTTGTGCGGTTCCTCCTGATGTAGAGTTAGGCAACCTTGCTGCTAACATGCCTGATATGTTTGATAATGATGAAGAATATGTTGGAGTAGATGATGAGGCTCTGTATATTCCGGTGCCAACTACACAGGCAACTAGGAATGCACAGGAAGCTGATGGCAATGCACAAGCATCTGAAAATGCATTTTGTGCTGATTTTCATAATGATGATAATGTTCCTATTCTTGATGAGGCAGAGGTTGGTGATGAAGACCCTTTTCATGTTCAAGTTCTACATGATCCAAAGAATGCAAAAATTGAGAAGGGGGAGCTATTTCCTGATATTGTTTCATTCAGGAAAGCCATAAGGCATTGGGCTGTCGTCAAGGGTTTTGAGTTTGCACCTGGGGTCCGAACAGACAAGTCAAGATTCATTGCGAGCTGTGCACACCCTACATGCCCTTGGCGGATACATGCTTCTACCATTTTTGACAAGAAAACGGTACAGGTAAGATCACAGTAACCTTACTGTCATATCTCTTTTTCAGGTCGCAGCCATCTTACTTTGTTGATTTGTGTTATTGAGTTATTGTCATATGCCTTTTTCAGATCAAAGTCTTACCTGCAGAGCACAACTGTCCTACCACCAAGCTTCAAGTAGGTAGAATGGCCAGCCAGGGTTGGTGTGCAGATAACCTTGGGGATTGGGTCAAGCAGAACCCAACTAAGAGAGCCAAGGAGGCTAGAAAAAAGTTGCAGGGTGATTTTGGCATACAGCTGAAGTACTCAAAAGTATGGTCAGGCTTACAGCAAGCTCTAAACCAGGTTCATGGTAAATATGAGGAAAGCTTTCAACTCCTTTTCAATTGGGCTGCACAGCTTGAACTTAGTTCTCCTGGAAGTAGAGTGAACATAGAGTTAACTAAGGTTGGTAAAAAGCATAGGTTCAAAAGAATATTTGTTGCTCTAAAGCCATGCATTGATGGCTTCTTAGCTGGTTGTAGACCATTCATTGGTGTAGATGCATCTGGTCTGAATGGGAAATATACTGGACAGTTGGCTTCAGCGACTGGGGTGGATGGCCATAATTGGTTGTATCATATTGCATATGGAATTTTTGATTCTGAGACTGAGGATAACTGGACGTGGTTTCTGGAGAATCTACATGCAGTCATAGGAGACCCTCCAGGTTTAGTGTTATGCTCAGATGCTTGTAAAGGGTTAGAGAATGCTGTGGGGGCTGTTTTCCCACAGGCGGAGAATAGAGAGTGCATGAGACACCTTTATCAAAACTTCATGAAACACTACTCAGGTGATGTCTTCACTGAGCACCTGTACCCTGCTGCCAGAAGCTACACTAAGGAGCTATTCAAGTGGCATATCAATAAAATCTATGAAATTGCTCCAGCTGCAATTGACTATCTTCATACACACCATAGCAGAATATGGTACATGTGTGGCTTCTCAGAGGAAACCAAGTGTGACTACTTAACAAATAATGTTTCTGAAAGTTTCAATGCTCAGATTAAAGAGTTCAAGGGACTTCATATACATGAGCTAGTGGATAGACTGAGGGAGTTGATAATGGAGAAGAGGTACCTCAGAAAGAAGGTAGCACAGCAGTGGGAAGAAGGCATACTACCTAGTGTTATCAAGGAATTGAACCTGATTAGCAAGCATCTCAAAGTTGTCAAGGTTGCAGTAAGTGATCCAGACTTTGCAGAGGTGACTATACTTGATGATTGGAATAACCAGAAAAGGTGCACAGTGGACTTGAAGAATAAGAACTGCGGCTGCAAGGTATGGCAGATTACTGGGAAGCCATGCAAACATGCGTTGGCTTGGATATTGTCCAATAGAGGCCTCAAAATTGAAGATTATGTGCATGAATATTATTCTGTTGCTAGATTCAAAGCTGCATATGAAGGAAGAGTTGAGGCTATGCCAGATAGAACACAGTGGCCTGAATTTCAGCTTGGGTTCAAAGTGCATCCTCCTTTGCTTGGTAGAGGAGCTGGTAGGCCTAAGACTGTGAGGATAAGGGGCTGTATGGAGCAACAGGCCAACAAGAAGAAAGTAAAGTGCAAAAGATGCAAGGGATTTGGTCACTTTGAAAAGACATGCAAGTTGGAGATGGTAGGTGAAGATGGTGAGACCGCAAAATCAAATAAAAGGTATGCAGCACTACCATTTCATTAAGTTTTTCATTTACTTGAGTTGTAACTATGTCATCTCGTTTTATTAGGAAGAGCCAAGACGAAGGTGGTGCTGCTGGGCCGTCCAAGAAGCCTACCAAGAAAAAGAAGACACCTAAAAAGAAGAAGACTCCTAAGAAAAAGCAGACCCCACTTAAGACCAAGCAAAATAGAGATGCAAGTGCTCCTCCAACAACAGTGGTTCGAAGCCTCCTGGATTTCCTGAATTAAGGAGAAGTTCAATTGTGGTGGTCTGTCATTTTGTTGCCTGTAATACAAGTTGGGTGACTGAACTTTTCAGCCTGTATGGCTGTCATTTTGGTGCTTGCTTGTAAAATATGTTGGTCGACATGACATGGTTGACAGGGGAACTGTAGTAGCCTGTGCACTTCCTGAACTGTAGTAGCTTGTGCACTTACTGAACTTGTTGCTTGTGTGCTTTCTAAAATTGTAATATTTCCTATTTGAACTACTTGTGCTACCTATCAATGGTATTGGCTGAATATTGCCTGAATATTTGCTGAATATTTGCTCAATATTGACAGCTACCTTGTGCTACCTATCAATGGTATTGGCTTGACATTTGCCTACCTGTGCACTGTCTGAAGTGTTGTGCGTGCATTTCAGACAATGTAGTTGTCAATTTTTTTTGTTGTAAATGTATATGTACATGCATTCCACTGAAGAAGCAACCATTCCAGCGCCACCATGCCCCAATTGTGATCAAAGAATTCAAGCCATAATAATCTGTGAAAACACAAGAAAAAGCGAAAGGACATGTTGCATCGCTTCTATATCACAGAAGGGACAGAATGACAAGCCTCAATGTGCTTGCATTTCAATGAGACATAGTTAGAGTTGATACCAATACTACATGGAATGGGGCTAATCATTGCATTTCAGTGATACATGATTTTATTTCAGACAAGGTCAACTACAATACATCAGTAACATACATGAGAAACAACATAGCTGAGGAATTTTCACTTCCAGATTACAGCACCTATAAACACTACAAGGGACCAAAGCTACAGCAATTGGGACACACTCCTTCATAGCCTCTTGTTTGATTTGGATGCGGATCAGAGGAACCAAGCAATTGTGACACTCTGTTTGCAGTTCTGCTGGAGGAACGGGGACGGGAAAGAACGAGGCAGCGCACGTGAGTAACGGAGGACGGGATACTTGACGAGCGTTTCAGTCGTGTACGCAAATACACCTGCAAATGGGCCCAGCTACGATGCAAACGTACACAATGGCGAGTTTCAACGAGTCGTAAAGTTGTAATGG